GTCCGTGTGCACCCCCCCGCTGAGCCTCCCCGGCAGCCCCCAACCTGGGGGTGTCGGCGGCGCTGTGCCCATCCCCAGGCCTGAGTGCCCCCGCCGGTCCCGTTCTGCTTTGGGATCTCCTTCTGTACCCCCGCCACGGAGCCCCCCCATCCCCCGGGGGCGGTGGGGGCCGCGGTGGAGGGGATGGAGTGTGAAGTGAGCGCTCAAAGCCCCGGATCGGGGCAGGGATAATGGGGCCGTACCGAGGCTGAAGGGGGGGGGAGGGGAGTGGGGAACGCAGGGGGTGCGACCCCGGCGGTGGGGCTGAAGGAGGCCGCAGATCTGTGACACCACCGCGGGTAGAACAGCCCGGACGGACCGCACTGCCCGGAGGGGGGGGGGAGGAGCTGCGCACATCTGGGCCCTCTGTACGTGTCATGGACCCCCCCGGCAGCCATAGGCCCCTCCCCACGGTGGAACCCCCTCAGGGTTGGCACACATGGCGTGTTGCTTTCACAGCCTCTCAGTGTATTCCAACCCCCCCCCCCAGCATGCAGCCCCCATGCATGCACCCCTAACGCACGCACAGCCCCGTGCATGCAAACCCTCACATGCATGCACAGCCCTCCTATGCATGAAAACCTCCTCCCATGCGTGCAGATCTCATGCACTCAGTGCCATGCACCCCCCCCCCAGCGTGTGCAACCCCCCCCATACACATACCCCCCCCCTCCCCAGCCCTTCCAGAAGCCCATACAGAGATATGGGATGCCCAACAGGGCCGTGCCGCATCCTCTCAGGACGCAGACCCCATTGCTCTGACAGCTCTATGGGTGCAGTGGGGCTGGTGGCAGCCCCCCCACAGTGTGGCAGCCTCATGGGGGGGCCACGCTGGGGGTCGGATGCAGCCCCCAGCCGCGCTGCGTGCCAGCTCTGTGCCCTCTGCCCGCAGGACGCTGTGCTCAGCGCCTGTTACCGCGGCTGCCGGCTGTTCTCCATCTGTCACTTTGTGGATGCGAGTGCGGGGCTGAACACCACCAGGGCTGAATGTGAGGCAGGTGAGCGGCCCCCCCCCCGGCCCCACACGGGGTTGTCCCCACCCCGACACCTCCACTGCACCGCAGTGCATCCCATACAACCCATGGGTGCAGGCGGGGAGGTGGGGGTGGCACCGGCGTCCCCTGTGGGGATCTGTCCTGTCCCCCCCCTCCATCCTCACCCCGCCCTGCAGCGTGCGCCGAGGCCTATGCTGGAGAGGAGGAGCAGTGGGGCTGCAGGACCGGGTGCCGTGAGCAGCTGCCCCACGTGCAGAGGAAGGAGCAGGTGAGGGGAGTGGGCTGGTGCCCCCCCGGTGCCCCCCCGGTGCCGCCCGGCTCTGCTGTGGGTTCCCCGGGTGGGAGGTGTGGGCTGAGTGCTGGCGTGGATTCCCCCGGTTTTGATCCTTCTCAGCAATTAGCAACGCTTTTCCTCCCGTGTTTAATTAATGCAGCTTTTGCCCAATTAATTAAACAAGCCTTTGGCCCGAGGTGGGGGCTCTTGGCAGAGCGAGGCGGTGCTGCAGGGAGCGGGGCCAAAGCAGAGGGCCCCAAAAACTCCATTCCATCCCATTTCCACGGGGCAGAGCCCAGCGACGGACACGGCATCATCGCCCCCAGCGCTGCTCTGCGGTTCCCAGACGGTCGGGCCGAGCAGATTTAGCAGAATAATTAGAGACAGCATCTGACCTATTTCTTTCCCGTGCGCCGCTCTGACCGCGCGAGGGGCGGTCGGCAAAACGCCGGCGGGGAGCGGCAGATTCCTGCAGGGATGCGTTAAAAATAACAAACTGCCACAACGGCCAAAAATCCGGGGCATGGGGACACTGCCAGCAGGAACGCCCTGAGCTGCTGGGGGAGCGCAGGGCTGGGGGGACACCGTGGGATGGGGCCGGGTGTCGGTCCCAAAGGGGCCCTTTGGTGGCTGTGGGGTGTGGGAATGGGGCTCTGGAGGAGCGCTGGGCTCAGCCCAGCTGTGTCCCTGCGTGGTGTCTGATGGGAGGGGTGTGGGGGGGGATGAGGTGACGCCGTGTCCCCGCTGCTTTGCAGAGCGCAGAGGTGAAGGCGCCGTCGCTCTCGGTGCTGGATTTGGTTTCCTCTTTCTGCACCGACATCGTCAGCTCTGCCCACAGCTTCATCTCCTCCACGTGGACCTTCTACCTGCAGGCGGATGATGGGAAAGTGGTGGTGTTCCAGGTGGGGGTCCCAAGCCCTTCCTGCTGGGGGCTGAATGGGACGGGACCCTCGTGCTGATTGCTTCTCCCCTCCTTCAGTCGCAGCCCCACATGGAGTTCCCACTGCCCGAAGCTCAGATGACCCAACCAGAGTGGCCTGAACCAGGGGCTGACGCCCACTCCCCCCAACCCCACGCAGGTGAGAGACTGCTCTGCTGTTGTCTGGGCCAGGAGCCCTCCTGGCGGCATCAGATCCCACCAGAGTGGAACAAATTGTGACTCTGATCTGCTTCCCAAACCCATGGCACCCATTGCAAGGAGCTGCAGGGGTTTTGTGCACCCCCTGCAGGGAGCAGGCCAGCAGGGGAACATGGCCAGCACCGTGCACCTTGTACGTTACACCTTGCACCACGCACCCTGCATCCTGCATCCTGCACTTTGCACAGTGATGCCCACACTCAGGACTGCCTCTCTTGCTTCCAGGCCCCCAGCAGAAGGAGGAAAAGTCCCCCCCTAGGAAGGAGCCGTGGGGCAAAGCCAAACCCATGGACACACCACAGCCAGAGCACGACTTCCTGGGCTGCATGGCCAAGTAGGTGTCGGGGGCTGCGGGCACCCCCTTCCCATACCCAGTGCACTGCCATAATGTGGCCCCATTTCTCTGGGGTTTGGGGGTGTTACAGGCGCTCAGGTCTCCCCCGCTGGATCCTGGCTGCCTGCCTCTTCCTCTCCATCGTGGTGATGCTGTGGCTGAGCTGTGCCAGCCTGGTGACCGCCCCCGAGCAGCACGTCAGGACTCAGGTATGGTGACCACCCCCGTCCTCCTGTTATGCCGTGGGTGCCTCGTTGGTGGGTGTTATGCATTGGTGCTGCATAGCATGTCCACAGGTTGGGGACAGTGAGACCCAAGGTCACACGGTGCCCTCTGCTGTTTTTCAGCCTCTGAGCATCAATGGAGACAGGGAGTGCCTGGAGGACCCGCGTGGCCCCAGTGTGTTCCCACTGCCGCCCGTCATCGCCGTCACTCTGTGCCCCACACACGGCGAGGATGTGGGGCCACTGCCACTGAAGGTTGACCTGGACAAGACCGTCCTGTAGTGCTCCACCTCTTCCCATCACCTCCCCATCACTTCACTGCCGCTGCCCCCACGCCGGTCCCCCTTCCGACCCCATCCCTCTGCCTCCATCGGCCACAGCCTGGAGCTTTCCCCCTCCATCAGCACTGCTGCACTCTGCGCTCCCACTGCCCTGAGCCCAGCGACCACCGCCAGCATGGAAGGGGGGAGCGCGGCCCTGGCCCCCCCTCTGGGCACAGCTCCAGCGGGGCAGAGGCAGCGCCTGGGGGGGCTTTGGCTCGGCACAGCCCGGCCCCCACCTCGGGCTGAGCCCCCGCGGCGCCGGCCCCGGCCCTGGGAACTCCCTTCCGCCGGTGGCCCCGCGGGAGCCGGAACGTGGCCAATGGATTTGGTGTTGGCAGCCAAAGCGGAGAGAGCAGCCGATCCGCCGCCCCCGTGCCCATGTGAGCACCCGGCCGGCCCCGGCGGGGGCTGCAGGGCGCTCTGCGAGGGTTCTGTGCTCTCCCCACTCCATGACACCAGCGGGGGGCACTGGGTGGTGACCGAGTGACATTTCCCATCCTCTTGTTCCTGGGATGACCCATCTCGTACATCTCCACGGCATCCCACAGGGCAGGACTGGGTGGCACTTTGTGCCCCCATGAGGGACAAGGGCTGGTGTCCAGGGGGCCTCATTGTGCAGCCCCCCACCTGCAGCAGTGCTCAGGGCACACGGGGCCATCTCCCCTCTCCCCATCTCCATCACTCTGTGCATTGTTCTGTGTTTGATTCGCACCGGCATGCAGTCTGCCAGGCCAGGGCACCTTGTGGTGGCACCCCAGCCCCCCACCTCCCCCCAACACGTGTGTACAGAGTAACTTATTGCCCGTGCCTCCTCCCGTCGGTTCCTACGCTCACCCCATGTCAGGGGGCAGTGATGTGTGTCGTTGTGGGGTGAGGGGGGCATCCCTGGAGGTGTCCCCCAGCCCCACCAATTTTGTGCTGCTCCATATCACAGTGCAACATATCTGGGTTGGGGAGAGGTGCTGCGGGTGAGGGGGTCTCGTGTTGGGGTGCACTTCTTGGTGTTGCTTTCTGGCAGCTCAGCTCGGTGTTGGTGCAGTCTGTGTTGTCCCGACCCCCCCTCATTTGCAGAGTCCCAGGGGTGCAGAGTCCCCTCCGGGCAGTTCCCCCCCCCTCCCACACACTGAGATGGGTGCAGGAAGCAAACCCGGCCCCACACTGCGAGCAGAGCGCGGGTCGGACATGGGAGGAGAAATAAAAGGTTTGTACCAGGGTTGGCCCGGTGGTTTCTGGGTGTGGGTCCGAGCCCTGGGGGTGCGGGGTCGGTCCCGGCTCCGTGCAGGAAGCAGCACGGATGGCTGTAAGGCAGCGCAGCTCGAGGGCTGCGGTGCTCACCCACGCCTTCCCCCGCAGAGCCCCATTTGCAGCAGCAGAGCTGTTCTGCAGCCCGTCTGTGTCCCTGAGGTGGGGGTCCCGAGGCACAGCTCCCCCCCCGCTCACTGCACGTCTCACCGCTGCTGCTTTCCACCCACACTTCCCACGTGCAGCTCGGGGCGTTGGTGAGGATGCTGGCACCCGGTGACGGAGCAGAAGGGAACAAAGCCCTTTGGGAACCCTTGGTGGGAAGCCCACGGCACAGCATTGCCCCCCCCCAACCCTCCAATCCCTCATTACCCATTAACCCCTTATTGCCCGAATGCCCCCAGCGCAGGGGGGAGGTGGGACGGACAGCTGGCAGACCCTGAGCGCCGCGGGCTCCGGCGGTCCCTCCTGGGACGGGGCTGCAAACAAACTCCTCGCCTTCGGGCTGGATCAGATTCCTCACTGCTGGCGCGGGGCGCAGGGAGCCGTGCCCAGGAAGGAGCAGGTGAGGAGGGACCCCGCTGCAGTGAGGAGAGACGCATGAAATCCGCTGGTTCCACCCCCCCGCAGGCAGCCGGGCTGAGTTCCACCCGACGCCTTTTTCCTCCTCGCTCCGTCCTTGGAAGTTTTTCACGGGGAAAACAAAAAATCGCGGTGTGTGGCCCCATGTGCCAAGAGCGATGCCACGGGGAGGAGCGGTGGGATCGCGCCCTCACCCCACGGTGGGCATCGGGGGCTGCGAAGGGCCGCGTCCTCCCCACCGGCTCCAGCTCAGCCACGCTCGGGAGGGAAGCGCAGGCCGGTAGGTGGGGACTGTCAGCCGCGCTGAGGCCAGCAGCGGCCCCACGGCCTCCAAAAAGCCGGGGGGAGGCGGCGAGCTGCCCCCCCAGCACCCCACGGTGGACCTCGAAGCGTCGCCCGGTTCGTTCCGGGCCGCCGTTCGGTGCCGGTGCCGCTCGGTGCCGCTGCGCACAGCCCCGCTGGGTCCGGTTGCCGCTGCCGCTGCCTTTTCCACCCCCCCGGGGGAGCCCCCCCCGCTGCCCCACTGAAATCTCAGCTGCCCGGAGCTGGCCGCGCTCCACCGCCGCTCACACACTGCAGTGCATTCACGCACGGATTTCCCTCCCCGCGAGCTGACGGGGCAGAAAACCCAGGGGGGCCGGGGGGGGGAAGGGGAAGGGTCCCAAAAGTCCCCTTCGTGCACCCCGCTGTGTCCATCACAGTTCGATCCCTTGACGGTCGGGGCTGCACCCGCTGCTCCCCCCGCTCCTTCCCAGCAGGGCCGGCTGGGCGCAGAGCACAGAGCAGCCACACAAGGCTTCTCCGCGGCTCACAGCGAGGAATGAAGGGCTTTGATAAGGGAACACAATGGGGAGGAAGCGGCGGTTTTGGGCCTTCACAGAGCGCGTGTTTTGAAGATGATGGAAAGAGGATCGAGCTCCTTCTCATCTGGGGAAGGGCCGCCTGTGTCCTCACTGCTCTCTGGTTGGTGCCCGGCCGCACTGCTGCTGTCCTGAGCAACTTCATCAGCTTGGGGCCCTGGGGGGGTAAACCTCCATCAGAGGAGTGAGGATGAGGATGGGTCGGACGGGGCTGCTGGTGGGGGGGAAACCTCCCCATCCTCCTCCCCACACCCCACCCAGGAGGAGAGGAGCCGCGGGTGATTCAGCAACAGGAAAACCAAACGAAAAACAATCTCCTGGTGCTAATGGGATTGGTTCTGTCCCTACCACGCACATTCCAGCCCAGCTCGAGGGACCGCTCGGGGGGAGAGGGGGAGCAACAAAGCCAAATCCTTTCCCGTGTCCAGGCGGCAGGGATCGGCGCGGTGCCGCTGGCCGGAGCGCCCCATCCGCAGCCGGCACTGCGCTGCGTGCCTCCGCCCGCCGCCAAGTGACATTAATTTTCCATTCCCTGGGCTTCATTACTTCTTGGAACGCAGACCGCGTGCGTTGGGCCGCGAGGGGCTTTCGCTTCCCTCCGTGTTTATTCTCGCTGCCGTGTGTTCTTTTGCCAGGTGAGGAGCGCAGCCAAGCTGGTCAGGGGGAGCGCGGCCGTATGGCTGCGGTTTGGCCGCGCGGGTGGGAACGGCTTCCCGCAGCACCTGCTGGGCGCCCGGCGATGGAGCAACCCTGCTGCTCACCGGGGGACGACACGTGTGAGCCGTGCCGGGCTGCTCTGCTGCATCGCGGCTCTGTTGGACAGCGCTGGGGACGGAGAGCGATGCCGAACGCGGCGCTGGGAGCGGAAGGATGCCGAGTGTGTCGTGCAGCCGTCCCGCAAAGCAGACCCCACGTGGCACTGCTGCTGGTTTTCTGCTCGTGCTTGCTGCTCCAGCTTGCCTCCAGCTTGCAGGGCACAGCCATGCCTACAGCTCTGGGTGTACACGCACAGCTGTTGGCTGGATGGGATGCGATGGCCGTGCTTTCCCCTGGCCGAGGAGCCGGCGGTCTCCATCCCAGCAGGACGCTGTGATGCACCTCTGCTTCGGCTCTGTGGTGGGCGATAGGGGCTGCTCTGTGCCCTATGGCTGTGAGTGAGGAGGAGGGGGTGTGCCACGCTCACAGCCTCCCAGGAGAGACCAGGGAGCATCTCTGTGCCGGAGTGCAGCGGTGTGGAGACACGAGCAGGGCGTCCTGATGGGGTGAAATGGAAGGAAGGGGAAGGGACAGCCCTGGCACGTGCAGGCCTACCCCAGCCCGTGTGCTTCCCCAGCTCGTGTGCTTGCTGGGATTACATGGGGATTAGTGGGGAGCAGCCAACCAGGAATGGAGAGGGATGCACCGCCAGCACCAAAAATGGCACCGGCACCAGAAATGGCACCAGCACTGTGGCAGTAGGAGACAGAGCAGCGCTGGCGCTGTGTGGAGGCAGCAAGCAGGAGAGGTCACCCAACTGCTCCTCTGTACTGACAGCGTGAGGGGAGGCGAGAGGCTGCGTTGTGCTGGGGAGAATCTAGCAGGAATCGGGGGAAGAAAGCTCCAGCTGATGGCTGCCTCCACCCACAGCCAATGGCGCTGAGTGGTAGCAGCTTGCAGAGCTGCTGCTGGGCAT